CTATAGATCTAAGTGTAAAGGGAAACCCTTCTGCGAAAAAGAATTTTAGTCGCCAAGAATATGTCAGATCAAATATTTTTCCCGACTAACGTATTTTAGTAGGCAAATCAAAACCTTTGGTGACCAAAAATTAGTTTATTCACCAAACATGAACCTTTATCAACCAATACTTTAATGGCCAACGCCTAATCCATATTTTGGAATTGAGCCAACTACTTATAGTCACCGCCAACACAAATTTTAGGAGGTGGGGTACTTTGAGTGAATCCTTTATCCACTAGCGTTTATCATAGTTACCAATTATGAAACTTTTGGCGACAAATATAATTAGTTAAATAAAATTTTATTTTTGGTGACTAAAAACATTTTTAGTCATCAAAACTGATACTTTCCACGACGAAATGTTCTTTAGTCACCGAAAATGTCTTTTCTTGTAATCATAACCTTTTCATTTTATTGTATTCATTTAAAAAAATATATATATATAGTTTATTTTTAACAACATAATTGTCGTTCATTTTTTTTAGACAAACTCGATAAATAAAAATATGGATGATATACATTGAAAGCTCTACAAAATAAATTATTTGGATTATCAAAACAGGACTCATGATGGGTTTCATAGGAACCTCAAATTTTCTGAAGCTAAAATTTGAACTTGAGAGAAGTACTACCATTCTAATAGTTCAGAAATAGAGTAAACTACTAGTAGGACTTAATAGTTGGACTTAATTTCCATTATGTCCTACTGAAAGTTTGTCCTAATAAAATTGTTGATAAAAATAATTTTTTGTGACACCTTTTTGCATGTCGCTAAAAATTGACAATTAGTGATTTTTTTTGTCATAATTATTATTAATTTTTTTCTAAAACTTACAATTAGTGATGTTTTTATGTGACGAATTTTTCAAATTGTTGTTGAAAGTTGAAAATTAGCAACTTTTTTTTTGTTACAATTTTTTTAAACTTTCACTAAAATTTATAAATAGTGACTTTTTTTTAACAAAATTTTCAAATTGTTGCTGAAAATTAACAATTAGTGATGATTTTTTTAATGGTGTTTGATGAAAAACGCTATTAATTATCGTAAGTTTTATTGGACAATAAATTTATTTGTAACGCCCTCAAAATAATAACATTAAACCCATCAATATAGACATACATTTATAACAAAAGATCTACATTCTTCAATTCATCAGAGTACTTCATTTAAAAAGTATTACATGTTAACAACAAAAGCAATTGCCCTACGGGCTTACAGCTTTCCAAGTTAACACTTGGTTACAAAAGACAGTACTAACTCAATTACATATTAAGCTCTTGGCTTGAATTTACATGTAATACATCAAAGAAATAAGACAACAAAAGTGTGTCCGCCTCTAGCCTCCCAAGCTATGTCCTTGGAGGTGGCATGCTACCTGTACCTCAAAATGATGTTCCCATATAGGGTGAGCCACAGCCCAGTAGAAATACACTAAACCAAATATGAACAATGACTAAAAGATTAGCAGTTGATAGATGGCCAACACTGATACTTTCACTTATAACACTTTACAGTTCATGACATACAAGTCCATGTTACAGTCCATTTTCCAATTCTTTTCAATTCTCAATTTAAAACAATGGCTCAGAACCTGGCCAAACAACTTATATGAGACAGTAACTCATATTAAACACTTTCCCATTTCATAATAGATAAGCATACTAGCTATATCACACACCAACAGATAAGCATACAAGCTATATCATTACTTCCATAGATATGCATAAGAGCACTATCACACTTCCAAGGACAAGCATATGAGCTGTGTTATCACATCACTAGATAAGCATATGAGCTCTATCTATGGAGTCCATCCCCTATCTTCTCCCAACAACATCCGGTTTAGAGGTCCATCCCCTATCTTCCCCTAAACCGTGGAGTACATCCCCTATCTCCTCCAACACGACACAATGCATATAAACAATAATTATACACATCATCACACAATACATAAATTTAATGTATTTTTTTCAACCGTCATACTCAATGACACATTCCAGTGATTAGTTTCAATTTGCCTAATCATCATGCATTATCTACAATAATCAAGACTATCCTCCACCGATAGCCCAAGGCAGTTATTTCTATACAGAAAATAAATGCAACAATGGATATATAATCAGCATTTCAACTAGGTGAGCGATAAATAATCCAACTACACCCTTTAATCCCATATCTTTCCAAATCAATCCCTCATTCCCAACAATTAATTGTACAAGTTAATCAATCAATGTAATTAGGGTATTTTCCATAATTAACATTTCAACCCCTCACGGTTTCATTTTCATCAACGTTTCAACATTTGCTTTATTCATTCATGCCAAACATGCATTTAGGTTTTATATAATTAAAACCCTAACTTTTGTAAAATTACACAAAGGCCCAAACTCTCTCAAAATTACCCAACAACCCCCAGCATATCAAAATGCCAAAATTTAAAGACAAAGCTCATAAAGAAGAGTAGGATATCCCTACCTCAAAAGATGACTACCAACCAAGAAGGTGAAGAAGACGAAAATGCTCCAACCCATGAATTTCTCGGATCAAAAGATAGCCCTCGACGATCAACAACTTATTTGTAAAGGCCAAAGGTGAGGAAATCACTCATACTAGATCAAACAATAGAGAGAAGTTAAGGTTTTAGAGAGAGGAGCTCTCAAAATAAGTTTTAGAAAAAGTAGGAGAGAGAAGGGAAAGTAAAAAGTGATTTAAAATCACCCAGCGGATAACTCATATACGCCTGACCTGCTCGAGCGGGGAACACAACGCTCGAGCACCAAGAACAAAAATCTGGACACGCTCGAGCGCAATAAGGCCCGCTCGAGCGCCAAGACACAAGAATAAAGCACTTCCGCTCGAGCGCGAAAACCAGTCCGCTCGAGCGTAGATTTCCCCCTCCTAGAACTTATACCCAGAAAGTACTACCCGCTCGAGCGCTACCGCTCAAGCGTAAACAAACCCGCTCGAGCGTAAAAATCATATCTGGAGAAGTTTTACAGGAACACGAAATACTGGAGGTATGCAATCTCCGCTCGAGCGCAAGAAGACCCGCTCGAGCGGATCGCCTAAAAACTGGACAACAAGGAATTGAAACCAAGGCCTAACCAACCTGTAACAACCCTACTCAAAACATCCTAAAACTCAATCAAGTGGAATTAAAGGACGACAACAAGAGAGGTACCACTACCAACTTCACGGAACCGAGTCCGGAATACAACAGAACATAAAAGGGACAACCGGGATCGCTATAACCTCCCCCCTTAAAGAATTTCGTCCCCGAAATTAATCACAAGTTTTTCGAAAACAGGTTTTCTCCACTCTCAACAATATTACAACATAATATTAAACAACCTGACCCATTACCGGTCAATTCCATCTCTTTTCAAGAGGCATTTCACAACAAAACATCCTAAAACTCAATCAAGTGGAATTAAAGGACGACAACAAGAGAGATACCACTACCAACTTCACGGAACCGAGTCCGGAATACAACAGAACAGAAAAGGGACAACCGGGATCGCTATACTATTTATTAGGACCTACACGTAAATTCCCTGTAGATATATAGATTGTATGATTGAATTTGAGAATTTTGTCATGATAAATATGAAATAACAATGTAAAAGTAGTGATATAAAATACTTAATGCTAAGAGTTCTAAGATTTTTTTATTTTTTTATGATTGGGTGTTTGAGCCAGCTTACGCTAAAACAAATTTTGGACAAAACCTGCAGGCATAACCTCAAGGAGTTGTTAGCAGTTAGTGGGAGTTAAACCTGAGACTTAAATGAAGCACATTCCCAGACCCCAAATTACACTCATTAGGTCAATCCTATTATATTATTTGAATCTCAAATATAAAATTCATTTAAAATCCATCCATACATCCAAGTAGAGTGTAATTTGGCTGGTTGGCTTGACATGTGATTGGTGGATTTCATCAGCCAACCTAGTTGGGTTATGCCTTTCGTAGTGATGCCCCTTTGCCCCTAGCTCCTTTTATTGGTGTCTTTTTATTGTACTTCTCCAGTGCATTTTCATCAATAAATCTTTATTGATCCAAAATCCTACACTACAAGAAATTACACTTTTGGCGATCAAATTTGGCTACACTACAAGAAATTACACTTTTGGCGATCAAATTTGGCTACTAAAATTAATTTAGTCACCAAAAGTCAGCCTTTTGGCGAATAAAATTTGAATTGGTCAGCAATGTTTCGTATTTTAGCTACTAAATTTTTTTAGTAGCCGTATATTACTTATTGGCGACTAAAACATAATTAGTAGCTAAAAAATGACCCAATCTGCGACTAAAAAATAGTCAGTCGCTAAAAATAGCCCAATAGGCCACTAAAATACAATTAGTAGCTAAAAAGTTACTCAATAGGCGACTAAAAATGACTTAGTAGCTAAACAATGACCCAATCAGCGACTAAAAAATAGTTAGTCGCTAAAAATAGCCCAATAGGCGACTAAAATACAATTAGTAGCCAAAAAGTTACTTAATAGGGGACTAAAAATGACTTAGTCGCTAAAAAATTCCCTATAGGCGACTAAAAAAATTTTGGTCCCTAAATGTATAATTTTTAGCTACTAAAAATAATTTAGTCGGTATTAATTTACTTTTACCGACTAAATTTTAATCGGCGATTATAATTAAAAAATTTAAAAATTGGACTTCAGATTTTAAACGACAATGCTACGTAGCTCAAATTTTGTGGCTCAAAAGTGGCTTAAATAGCCAAAACGATGTCGTTTTGGCTATTTTTATGTTGTTCTGTACTCAAAACGACGTCGTTTTGGCCATTTGAGCCACTTTTGAGCCACAAAATTTGAGCTACGTAGCATTGTCGTTTAATTAGCTACTAAAGTCGTTAGTCGGAAAAACGTCATTATTTATTATTGGCGACTGCAAAAATTAGTTGGGAAAGAAATCCATATATAAAAAATACGCTTCCACATGCTCAGCTGTCTCTCACTCTGTGACTCACTCTCTCTCTCTTTCTCACTCTCTCACGCCTTTGCCCTCCTCTAGCTCTCTCTCTCTCGCCTTTGTCTCCATCGTCGTCGGGTACGGGAGCATCACCGCCATCGCACAGGAGCACCACCGTCAATTGATGGGTCTGCTCAACTAGGTATTGTTTATGTTATACCTATACCTATACTTCAAATTTTTTAAGAAGATTCGAAGTCGTTGATGGGTCTGCTCAACTCCGGAGATCAACGGCCCTTCGATGAAATCATGGCAGATTTCAACTCCAATTTCCCTCGCCCCTCCATTTCATTCTTTGCTCTCGCCTCTCCAATCTCTTAGGGGCAACTCTCTCTCTCTCTCTCTCTATATATATATATATGTATAATTTTTTTATTTATCAATTGTAATGGAGATTTTCATACTTGATTAAGATACTAAATTTAGCTGATTGGAGTTTAGATGTAAGAATTTGAAGAGTTAGGGCTTTGTTTATTGGCCATATGAGGTGTTGGGTTCTGAGATTGAACTTGGAATTGTTGTTAGGTTTTGTACGCAAACATGAATATGCACACTGTTTGGTTTTTGAAAATTGAATTATGCGATTTTGGGAATTTCTTGTATGGGTGCTTATTAACACTGAAAGGGGGCTAATTTTGCCCTTTATGCTAGTCATAACTTTCGTGTCATTGAAATTCTAATTCAACTCAACTTTATTTTGGGGTTTCACTAATCTTTGCTTTCTTTTTTCACTTTATTCATGTTCTTTTTCTTCTTCTAAATTTTTTTTTTAAAATTTATTTTTGGTTAAGGTTTCACTTAAACATTTCTAGATGTCTACCTACTAATCTGACTGCTCTTTGCTTGCCCTTTTCTTGCTTTGTGTTTAACACTGTGTGAGTGAAAGAGAATAGAAATGAATTAGGGAAAAAATGTTGAGTATGCTATCTATTTGTAATTTTAAATGAAAAGATTGCCATTCCTCATATCTTTATTTGTTGGACCCTTTGCAGCTCTGTTATTTCGCATTTATCATTTCACTGTCTAATTGAGATGGCATATCATCATAAATTATTTTTTGGCATAAGTAAATTTGATCATCTGGTTGGATGCAAGCCTTATTCTCCCTCCCTTTCTCCCTGAATTTTATATTAAATTTTGCGACCTCATAGATACCTAATGTGAATGATGAATTTTCTGGGTTGTGGATTGCTTGGTGATTGCTAATAAGCTACATATTGTTACAGAACAAGAAGATGCTTAAACCTACTCAACGTTTGGTTACTCTTGCTATTCTAAATCAGACTTATTCTTCCAAGCAGTCTTCTTCAAATCCGTTTATACCTTTCCTTATAAATGTAAGTATACTTGCCATGCTTGATATTTAGTTGCTACAACAAGTTACTCTAGATTCTCTTAGGGACTGCTGCTAAGTACCTAATAGTGCGTTACGGTTGAAACGCATTGAATACTATCATTATGAAGAGATGGGAACTCTTGTTGTTAAGGTAAGCGTGGAATTACAGAAATATATTACTGGCAAATTTAGTTTATGTTGTTTGGATAAAAATTGAAATTTGAATGCACCTTATAATTGTAGCCTACCGTTGCACGATTATAATTTATATCAACAGTAACAAAACAATACATTTGAATTGAACCTCATATCTCAAATGCTAATTACTCTTTGGGGACCTATTTCCCTCTTGAAGTAACACTCACAAATTGAACTATACCTATTTCCAATATTTGTGAGTCTTGGACCTATTTCTTTGTGTTACTGTATGGTTTTCATATTGTCTTTTTTGGTTTGTTGAGGAAAACTTGATTGAAGCTTTTTCTAATCTTGTGAATCACTGAAACTGCTTGGATTCCTTGGATTGAGGCACAGATGAAAATTTTATACTGTGTACTTCAAAATATGTGAAGTGTGTATTTTGTTTCCATAGCCACATACTTCAGAATAGGATGGAGAATTCTTGAAATCCCTTTAGGAGAATGCTATGATGTGATCGTATGCACCTTATGCAAAAAACATAACTTCATTTTGTATAACTTTTTTTCTTCACTATAAATATAACCTTTTTGCTTCTCAGAAAATATATAACTTCTCTCACAAAAAGTGTAGTTTATACATAACTTTTAGGTGCTCATTATAACTTCAAAATTCATAACTTTCATCACAAAAATTGTAATTTTCATCTCACAAAATATACAACTTCTCTCTCAAAAAGTATAACTTTTCCTATAACCTCTCCCATATCTTTATGATTCTTGGGGCTCTTTTTTGAGTTTTCAAATAACCAGTTTGTGGATTCAGATGCTATGGCCCTTTGAATCAAATAAAATAGCTGTGCTTTGGTTTAGATTTTCGTTGATCTGGGATAATTTCTGTGTTTTTAAGATATGAAATTTCAGAATTAATAGTTTTGTTTACCCTCTTCTACTTTCATCGATTGAAAGCACTTAATAAGTTTTCAAATTAATTGTTTTTCTCTTCAATTCATTTAATTCAAGTAATGTGTGAAACAATCTTTAGATCATATTATGCAGGACCATTCAATTTTGAAACGGGAGAGACAAAGGGAAGCCTTCCCAAACTACATTACTAGATGTCAAATAGCTGGTCCAAGGTTATAAATTTGTTTTGAATGTCAAATAGCATTTGTATTACCCATATTTCTTAAATAAGCTCCTAAATTGATGATCTTTGTCTGCCAGGTTTCCAACATCATATATTTGGACTCTCCAGCTAGTGTTGGATTTTCTTACTAGGGAAATAAATCCGATTACATTAACTACATTTATAGACTAACCATTTGCTGTGCAGGTCTAAGCCAACCCTGCTGTAGAAGATTAGACAAATCTCTAGCAATGGTAGCTCGACCAGACACCCACACCTCACTTGATTCATCATGGTCATCTTCTTCAGGCATAGAGTTTTCCCAACATCGAGTCATTACTGGTAATGCTGCAAAGCCCTGTTCAACCATCTATTGTGAACCAGTGCCAGTTCATTGCTAAAATTCATTATTTATAGAAGCACTGTTAAGAGAAAACTATAAATATCTTAACTATCAGGAAGAAGGAAAAAAATACACGCACAGTTAAATAACCAACTCTATAAATTGCAACCATTTATGATATTCTTCATAGATATCAGAAATTTGAAGGACTAAATGCAATTGAAATTTTAAAGATGAAATAAAGAAAATGGTGATAGTTTAAGGGATAGAAGTGAAATTAATCCGTTGAATAATTCATTATTTTTAGGCTAATATTTTGATTAATTTGAATTGAATTTTGGTTTTAGAAGGAAGATTTAGGGATGATTTCACTTGGGATTTTGTATTCATCTTTTATGGTTTTTTCTTTGGTAGCTGCATTGGTGGTTCGATTTCTAGGGTCGAAAAATGCTCTTATTCTTGGGACTACTGAGTATTGGTTGTTCATAGCAGTGAATTTGATACCAACATGGTAATTAGTTTCTCATCATAGATAAATTTCCGTACTTTTGTTCAGGACAAACATGATAATTAGTTCCTGTCAATTTTTGCAATTTATACTAAAAACCGTGTTAGATGTCAAAAGTTAAACACATATATTATTCCTATTTGTTAAATTTTATGTTGCATCTGGATGGAGAAATAGGTGGATAATGGGAAGCTTATATTAATTTACTATTTCTTTATCGTAAGAAGATTTACAATTTTTTGTTGTCAAAATTATTAATATTTGTGGTGATTTATGCCAGTTTGTGGTGATTTAGAGTTGAAAATGTCATTAATTTAGTCGACAAAAAGGGGTTTGGGGGGTAAAAATGCGAAACAACCCCCGAACCACTGTTGAAAATGTCATAGAATCGATGTTCGTCTACCATTCCATGTTTGGGTGCCTTTCAGTAGTTAATAGCTATTACTCTCCTTGTCTTTTCATGTTTGAAATTAATACAGTTGCTATATGTCGTCCAGAAGTGCCTTTATAGGCACCAAACTAATGACATTTTTTTAATTTGCAGATGGTTTTGGACATACAAACGTGAATATGATTTTTTTTGACAAGTACGGAAGGGCAAACAAATGTGGATATGGTTTTGGACATACAAATGTGGATATGATGGTTTTGGACATACAAACTAATGATTTGTATTATATATAGAAATGAAATGAATGAAATGAATGGTTTTGGTTAGTCCTGTATTATGTATGAAATGAAATTATTGACGTTGGATTAGACTTGGTTCCTATGAAATTTGTATTATATATAGAATTGGATGTTCAATATTAATGTTTTGGATGGTTTGAACTAAAATGTGTGCACATTATTGAATGCTTGAATGGTTGATAATATATTTAGCGTTGATGGATTATATTGGTTATACAGGATACAGGTTGTACTAAAAATGGATACAGGTTGTTTAGAATTTTTTTGGAAAAAAAAAAAAACAAAAACAAAAAGTATTTGGCCACCAAATATTTTGGTAGCCAAATATGTAGCCAAATGTTTTGGCGACTAATAATTTAGTAGCAAAAACATAACCAAAAATTTTTTTGCTACTAAATAGTTAGTAGCTAAAACAATTGAGAATGGGAGAAATAAACTATTGGCCACTAAATTTTTTAGTCACGGAAAAAAAAGGGTATCATTTGGCGACTAAAACATTTGATGGCAAAAAGTAATGTATTCCATTGGTGACCAAAATATTTAGTCTCTAATAGTTGGTTAAAATTTTCATGTAGAACTTTTAGTGACTAAAAAATTAGTGGCCAAAATGTCACGTTTGCCGACTAAGTACGGATTCGTAGCCAAATGTTCACTTTCAGTGACTAATTCTTTCGTAGCAAAAAGCAACACCTTCCCCGACCACACGAATGTTAGTAGCCAAAAGTCGCATTCGGCGACTACTGGTTTTAGTGGCGAAAAGCTAACATTTGCCAGCCAAAAGAAGTTTAGTAGGCAAATGTTACACTTTCAGCGACCAAATAAAGTTTAGTCGCCAATACTATCGCCGACAGGGTATAGGCGACAAACTTGGCGACAAAACCTTTAAGTCGCTAAATCGTTTCAGTGACCAAATTTTTGACTTTTGGTGACCAATATTTTGGTAGCCAAAAGTGACATTTCTTGTAGTGCTAATTGTTAAAAGTCTAGATTTAGGTTTAGAAACCATCTCAAACGCAACACAAACTGAAGCTATATTAATCCTCCAAACTTTATTCCATGACTCATCTTTGATAATGTCTAAAATTAACATAGAGAGAATGGTAAGCAAACTCCATTTTAAAAAGGCTTCTAAGAACTAGAGCTAGTTATCTTGAGGCTTCAACTTCGTTTTCTCTCCTTGGTGGCCTTCTCGCTCTCTTTGTCTTGTAATATAATGTGATATTGTGACATTTAGTGGTCAACTTCCCAAACAGCTCCATCTTCTTCTCCACAATTATTGTGAACTGTTTTCATTCTCTCCACGGATTTGCATATTCCACTGCAAGACCAATCGAACGATGCCACACATACATTTCCTGTTTGTTTCTGCCATTCACAATCTGTACACATGCATGAACACCAAATCACATAGCATAATATAAAGAATGACAAAAGAAGATTTAAAATTCATCGACATTTGTCTGGCAAAAGTGCTCAAGTCCTTGGTAAGGGCATCTTTTACAATACATAACATGCCACCACATATATATATATTTTTTTGATCGGCAAAGAAAATCTTTATTGATAAAAGCATGCACAAGAAGATACAAAACATGCCACCACATATATGAATGAGATAAAAGACAAGATTAATTTGCTCAAATACTAGTAGTAAATTATATATATATATATAATACTAAAGCTCATTAGCACGGCAATATGCCAACCATCTATCACTGACAATATATATGACATCAATTGATATGGTCTGTTGTCAATTTGGTCAAAATTATTTTTTATTTTTGGAATTTTTAGAATTATCTTCTTTGTTGCATACCATAAAACCCAAAATATGAAAAACAGAAATTCTGTGGAGTTGGAAAGTGTAGTACATAAAAATTAGATAGTAAATTTAGAACTCATTCTGCATTGTACTGATAGTGCTAATTAATCTAATTTAATAAAATAAAATAAAATAAAAAAGAAGAAGAAGAAGAGAGTTTGTGTTGATAAGTTAAGCTTTCATCATTGTATTAGAGTTAGAATTTCCAAGCTTTGTAGGATGGAATTAGATGTACCTGGTGGAGTTCCACAGCACATAGAACGGTCATCAACATGTTCAACCTCCAAGCCAATGAGCCATGATCCCAAAGAAACATCCTCATTTGCATATCTATGCAATATGGCCCTATATATGTATTATCAATATATATCATCTATCACACATTCAATATTTCATGAAGAGATTAAGAGATCAGTAAGTATATTAAGAGATCGAAAATGTTGAGAGAAAAAGAGATAGAGAGAATATTATAAAATTACTGACGAGTTGATAGAGATGTAAGTTGCAAGGTCGTTGGATATGGCATAAATTTGACCGGTGGCATGTCTAAAGTACTTGTTCCCCTCTTCTCCAAACTTCCAAAACTCTGGTTCATGATATTTTAGCTCCCTGCATTCCAAGCAAAACAAATAACTTTTGTAAGAATTTATGTATTTATGTATGTAACTAACTAGGATATGTACAAAGTTGAATAACATGAATTGTAAATAAATTATATGTAACTCACTTCTGAAAGAGAACTGGTCCAGACTTCATGCACCCAATGTAGATCCTGGGTTTGGATTGGTACCGTTCCAGTGTACTCACTAGCATACCTATATATATATAGATAACACAATTAGTGCATTCTTTTAACTTGATCCTTAAAAATATATATATATATATATAGTTACAAAAGAAAATACTCCATTAATATAAAGAAAATGGAAGAGCATCAAGTAATTAATCTTAATGAATGAATTGATTAATAATACCCAAATTGAGGTGGACATCATCGTCCACCTTAACATAGAATTCTGCATCCCAGAGTGAGACAGCTGTGGAGAAATACATTCGAGTCTTGGTGGAGAGCTCATGGTAGCCCTCAACATGATTGAGTCGAAGAAAATCTTTGTTCTCAGCCTCCTCTACATCGATCGCTTGATCTAGTACTCCTCCCCGTGTGGCACTGTATCCTATCACAAATCGTATTATGATCCCTTTCTCTTTCTCCAATTTCTGTAGCTTGTCCCCTGTATCATTATTATTACTTATATATAAGCTTTACACTAGCCTTGTTTGAAAACTTGATTTTTAGGCTAAAAGAAAAGTTAAGAAATCACTAAAAAAAAAAAAGTCATGCACACTAGTCAGTTCATTTTTCATAGAATTAAATATATATATATATATATATATATTCCCAAACACATTAATTTTTTTCACCTCACAAAAAATATTAAAAGGTCACTAAAAAAACTAAATCTCAACTTATATTATCTTTTTCAGGTTGGGGTTTATATTGTTATTTTATTTTTTTTAGTGTGTATAAACTATGACCAATTCCATCATTGTAATAAGTGCATTAATTGGAATTACCATTGTAATAACGAAAAAAGAATTCCTAGTGTATGGGTTGCAGGGTTCGTGTTGCTCTAAGTAAGTGTTGGCATATCAAGTGGCCTCGTGTTAACCCATTTCGAAGTGGGTTAAGCTAAGGGTTGGCCCTAACACCCTTCCCCACTCTGAAGTGTGCAAAGTCATGGGCTTAACCATAGCCTCTTTTTCCACTCCAATGTGGGCCAAGCTGGAAGAATGACCCTAGCACCCTTTCACATTCCGATACAGGCCGAGTTGGAGGTATGGCCCTAGCTCTCTTACCCACTCCGAAATAGGTGAAGTCATGGGCTTAACCATAACCTCTGTCCCCGCTCCAATGTGGGCTAACCTAGAGATATGGCCCTAGCCTCCTTCCCTACTCCGAAGTGGGCTGAGCTTATAGCACCCCGGGTTAAGACCTGACCCTTTTATACTCTTTGATTTAGAATCTATCACCTATGGTTGTTGTCTATGCTTCTTCTAGTCTTGTAGTTGATTGGGAATGGTTATTTGGATTATTGGATTATGTTTTGAACAAGTTGGGAGTTAATATTTCAAAGGAAATTTTGTTTGTTTGTTCTTAAGTTCGCTCGAGTAGTCTTTTCTTTGCTCGAGCTGTCTTTTGTTTCTCGCAAAATATGTGTTTGCAGTATGAACTTTTGGGAGTAGGGTATTCTTCGATTGAGTAGTCTTTTCTTCGTTCGAGCGTTATCTTTGTAGGTCTAAACTTTTGGGAGTTTGGTTTATTTGCTTGAGCCATGGTTTGGTCTCTCGAGCAGTGTTATGTGTCTGACGCTCGAGCGGTCTGTTAGTATAAAGTTGCGAAAAAGATCTTTCCACTTTTCTCTTCTTCTCTCTTTCCTTTCTGAGGGAAATTTCTTGTTCTCTCTCTCTAAAATCTCACCTAAACTCTCCTATACACCCTAGTCCGTTAGTCTCGCCACCTTGGTGCTTTGAGAAAAATTGTAGAGCTTGTCGTGGTGATTGTTTCTATTTGAAAAGTTTGAGCTTTAGTGTACGTCAAATCTTTGGGGTTTTATTTTTCTTCTCCTCATATTTTGAGGTAAGGGTTTCTTTAGTGTTTTGTATGAAATTTAACCTCGTTATGTGTTTTTTTGAAAAGAACGGTGTTTTGGGAGTTGTGGTTTGATTAAGGTAGGATTTGAGTTGATTTGGGTTTGGATTTGGAGTTTAAATGAGGGGTTTTCATTGAAATGATCTTGGAATGGTTTTTGGTATTACAAATTTGGAAAATTTCTTTGAAAATGTATACTATAGAAAAGAATATTTGTTTGGGGATAATTGGAAATCCTTAAGCATTCATATTTTCAACTGAAGAAAAAAGGAAAGATGTTGAGATTTTGAAATGATATTTTGATTATATCTATTGGGTTTGAAAGTGAAGTTAGACATGTATTGTTACTCCTATATTGGAATTCTAAAATCATATATGTTTTTTTGAAATTTATCTTTTGAATAAAAATATCTGTTTTGGGCTACCAGTAGAGGATATCTTTGATTGTTAGAGAAATTATATGAGGATTAGGTTCTTTAAAACTATTTTGCTCATACATCTTGCATTTGAACATTATTTCATATTTTTACATGGAAAATGCGTTGTTTTTGAGAAAAATTGGTGAATACCTTGGTAAATCTTATTAGGGAGTGTGGTTGTGGTTATATTTATCTTGGCCTATGTGTCGTTGGTAAAAATCTAGAAACCCGCGCAATTGGGTGCCGATCCTTCCAGTTAGTACCGATAAAATGGCTTTGGTAGTGCTTGTATAGCCTACTGGTAGACACGTACCTAGAGATTCCTAGTGTGTGTATCCACTACCCTGTTTTCTGTATTGGAAGTATTGATTTATGAATTAAATTATAAATATCACATTGCATTGTTTAAAAGAGAAAATGCATCGTTTTAGTAAATGTCATTCATGTGCATTCACCACATGACTTTGTTAAAGCATCATATAATATACTAAATTAATTTCTATTGGGTTTTAGCTCACCCTATATGAAAAACCAACTTTCAAGTGCTGATGATATACGTCTGCTAAGGAATTAACTTGTGAGAACTCTAGAACTGAAGGCTCATTATTTCTGTTTTGTAGATATTTTTGTACGAGCCTAGCACTTTTATATGTATTGGGCTTGATCCACTTTTGTTGGAATCAAGTATTGCCTTAAAAATATTTAGCCATTAGGGCATTAACTTCTCTTTTCTTCTTTTCGTTTATATATATCTATATATATATATATATATATATATCACATATAGATTCATAGCTTAGGATTAATGAATGTATTAATGCATACCTTATAGAAACTAATGAAATGGAAGATAGTTTTGAGAAAAGCTTGCATTGTCATATGATGAAAAGATTTATATTAATAAGCTTCCGCAAATCTATTGAGGATTATGGAAGTATCTATTGTATATTTTTTGGGGGTGCATTACAGAGCTAGGGGGTCGGCCCTAACACCATTCCTCACTCTAAAGTAGGCAAAGTCATGGGTTTAACCATAGCCTCTATCCCCACTCTGATGTAGGCCGAATTAGGGGTCAGTCATGGCATCTTTCCCCACTCCGACATGGGCAAAGTCATGCGCTTAACCATAACCTCCTTCCCCACTCCAACTTGGGCCGATATAGGGGTTTGGCCCTACCATCCTTCCCCACTCTAGGTGGGCGATGTTGTGGGCCTAGCCTCTTTCCCCACTCCGATGTGGGCCGAACTAGGGGGTCAACCTTAGCACACTTCCCCACTCTGAAGTGGGCAAGTTATTGAGTTCATCCCTAAGTCACTCATCCACTCCAAAGTGAGTTGAGTCTTAACAGAATGCTCAATGCTATGTGAGTGAATGGTACATGGCACTGCGAATAACAGAATGGTTACTCAAGTGTGTAGACGACTCATCACTTTCCTCCAACGAGGAGCGACCTAGCTAAACAACAAAGAGTGCCAGATGGCAGAGAGAGGTGCTTGAGGAGCAAGTCAAGCCTTCATTATAAAAGGTAACCTCACCACCCTTCAAAGGGGCCGAATAAAATTACTCTCTCTATATACTCGTCCCCCTTATTCTCTCATTGGCCTGACTACCATCGGAGGGATTTTCGACCAAACCCCGGTTGAGTGGCCTCACCGTTCATTACTTGTGTAGGCCTTCATCTCACGGAGGACGGTAGCTTGTCCACGAAGCACACTCACTCTCTACGTTGCGGAATTGAGTCCGTGCACACATGTAATAAAAGTTTCAGTTGGAAAAAATATGTCAGTTTCCTAAATGATACAGGTTTCTAAAGATTGGGTCACACTGAAATATTTCCGAGCTGAAATTTGCTATAAGATGTAGACAGAGATGGAGAGGGAAGAAGAAAACCTCTAGGCATCCATGTTTCACGAAGGGAGTCTCGCCGTTTCTTGCTGCTAAAAGCAGTATTAATTCCAATGACCACAAATGCTTTCTCCTGTAGACTACTACTACTACTGTTACTGTCATGATTAGAAGATGATGATGGTACCCTTTGTGATGAAAGATGGCTGCCTGATTTTCCCGTCTGAGCTGCTTCCAGTTCCATTTCTAATGTTGATATTGTTTTGTCGAGCAATCTGTTTAATTAACACTCGTCCCCGAACCAAGTAGTTAAGTAAGGGAAATAATAATAATAAATGAAATGAATAAAGTAATTTCACACTGTAAACACATGAAACATTGTTCCGTAAAGATTATTAGTTCATCTTACTGGATGGTATCAGGCGTCTTGGTTACTTCTCCTATAATGTCTCCTCCTGAACTACCTTCTGCCAATTTCTGAGCCAACAATAATAATAATAATATGCTGTATTATTGACAATATGATACAATCTGATCTTTTAGTAAAACAGATAAAAAAGTGTCAGAAATGAAAAGAAAAAAAAAAAAAAAAAACACAACCACGTGTTAGCTAGCTATTGAACATGGTGAGTTCAAATGGTCTATTGGTTATAAGAAAAGTTAGGGATCATGAAATTTTTCTCATGGAAGTGATCATGAAAGAATTATGATCCTTGGATTACCTTCATTAATGTGTGGTACTTTATTCTAAGTATAATTCAAGGGTCACAAAGTTTTCATAATTATTTTCATGAAAGATTTTTCATGATACCTACCATTTCTGATTGGTTATATACATAGTTTTCTGTTTCAAAGTTGTAAATTATTAACAAAGTATTTAATAGGCTTACGCGAATATGATCATGATCATGTGTAACTGTACTCATCAGTTTCTCTGAAGAGTGAATTGATGTCCGGCTAGTAAAAAGTGATCCTGCCAGAAAGATTGCAATGCAAAGCATGAGAATGACTTTTCCCAGAACTGGCTTTACTCGCATTTTCTTAAATTTGTTGTCGAGCTTCCACAGCCACACAGTTGACCTTAAGTGCTGGAAACCAGTAATGTTCACTGCCTTGGTAAAATTCTTCATGAAGCACAGAAGACGAAGAAATTCAGGTTTGATTGGAAGTGTAAAACTGATGGATGATGCTCTTCTGTCTAAAACTAGGGTAATATTTATATCATTCCATGATTTCTATAAGTAGTCCGTAAAACATACATGAAGTGAAAAATAAAAATAAAATAAATAAAGAATTTGTATCATATCTTAATGTATTTCAAATGTGGCTTCAAATTAAGCATTTCATGTGAAACCATATGGGATGTCAAGCTAAAAAAATTCCATTTTTAGCCTATCACCAGAGAAGTAAAGAGAAAATTTCAAGTTATTAGTTCCAGAAAGGAAAAGATAAGAAACATCATGAACTAATTTCTCTGCAAACTAACTAAATTAAGCTTTCTTGTAAAATGTTGACTTTGAAGAGTGTTATTCTACATTGCTCCATAAAGACGTCGCTTCTATCTTAACCTTTAGAATCAAAGATAAGTCAACAATGTCAAGTTAACCACAAATCATCACTTCATTAATTATTACGACGTATACAGTGCAAATGGAACTGTAGTAGGACAACCATACTCATATGCGATGTCGTGAAGTTTGGCATAAAAATGAAAAAAACATATAAATTATCAAAACATTAAGAAAGTGACAAAAGCCCTTAATTTATACTTTCAAATACAACACAAATATATGTGAGATGAGACGAAACTAAATAGAAAATTAGCATATGTATGTATCAATGAGAAAACAAAAAATGAATATGTAAGCTCAAATTATAATTAAATTTCATTTTCTATATATGCAAGTCAGTTGCCAGTTATTTATATATAAATTTAGATTGTGCAAATATGTTTAATTAAGAACATAAAGTGACGCATGAGTGAGTAGTACCTGCTAATTATAAAGACGAGAGAGAGAGAGAGAGAGAGAGAGAGATCATGGGGATCACGAGAATTTGGATCAAAACATTTTTAGTTTTTAGTTTACTTGGAAGATAGTCGGTGGAAGAGAATGTGATGATGATGATGATGATGATAACGAATGCATGGGTTTGGCAGTTCAGTCATGTGGTTTTCATGGCTCAACGTCTGCTTTAAAACAACAATATAAGAAATGTGTCCAATTAGGTTTCCTCGTCTAAGTACCTCCTTACGTACACGTTTGTGTTTGGGTGCGTATTTATTCATTTTTTTCCATTGATTGTAAAAAGTAATAATAATAATAATAGCATTCAGTGTGTTTGATTTGAGTTTTTTGAATTAAATTTTTTGAAAACTCAGCTTTTTAGTTTTCGTATTTTTTATTTTATTTTTAGTGAATACTTTTAAAATTTTAAACATTTTTTTTTTACTTTTTTAAATGCACCTTACTTAGATGTATCTAAAAAGTAAAAAATTTGCGAAAAAATATTTTAAAAATTTAATAAATACATAAAAATATTAAAAAATGTACTGAATTGTCGTATTTTTTTTTTTTGTATTTTTGGTATCTAATGAATTTTTAAAAAGTTTTTTTCACAATTTTTTTACTTTTTAGGTATATTTATGTTAGGTATGTCTAAAAAGTAAAAGAAATTGCTTAAAATATTTAAAAAATTCAGTAAAAATAAAAAAATACGAAAAACAAGAAAGTAAAATTTTCGTAAAAGTGTTTTTGAAAAAACACAACCAAACAAGCTGATTGCTATTATAATCTAAAAGTTTGACTTTTAAAAAAAAAAATTAATAATATGATAATTTATTAAAATAGTTAAGATAATTTTTTTTCTCATATATTCTTTAATAATTAGCCAATCATCTTTTTCATACATTGGGTCTAGAAAACGATACTCTCTAGTACATATCCTTGTTATTTATTTTTGTGATTTACACATTTTTGTAGTAAATGTTATATAATTTTTTGATAGAACAATTTGTGATTTACAAATAAAGTTATGCATTTTGTGTTAATGTTACGCATTTTTATAATAATGTTACACATTTTTTATCTAAATATTTTTTAACCAAAAAATATATAATATTACCACAAAAATGCATAATATTATCACAAAAATGCCTAATTTTATTTCTAAATCATAAATTGTCATAGCTTTATCAAAAAAGTACATAATCACTACAAGAATTTGCACTTTTAGAGACCACTTTCCGCGACCAATATAAAAGTTGGTAGCTAAAAGTTACCTTTTGGCGACCAAATATTAATTAGTCGCAAATGATCATTATTTTTGGCGACCAAATATGAGTTGGTCGCAGAAAGTCATTTTTTGGTGACCAAAAAATGAGTTGGTCACAAAAAGCGGTATGCTTTTGGCGACCAACTACAAATTTTGTTGCGGAAGATTACATTTTGGCGACCAAAAAATAAGTTGGTTGTGGAAGATCAAATATAAGTTGGTTGTATAATTGGCGACCAAAATTTTAGTCCCCAAAAACTTATTTTTCCAGACCAAAAATATTTTAGTTGCTGTATATTGAGTTTTGGCTACTAAAATAATTTAGTCGCCGAATGGAAAACAAAATTTTTTTTTTCTTTGGCGACCAAAAATTTGGTCGCCAAAAACTTATTTTCAGCAACCAAAAAAAAATTAGTCGCCAAATTGGTACTTTTAGTGACTAATATTTTAGTCGCTGTTGATTGAGATTTGGCAACTAAAAAAGTTTGTCGGCGAAGAAACTGTAAACCGCCCGAACTCGCTCTGCGCGCCTCGCTTTCGGAGAGGGCGCGAATTGGGTTCTAGCTACTACAGTTCGGACTCCTATCACGGTTCTGAATCTAATATCACAAAGTGCAATGTAAGATTGATAAATCACCAAAGAGTCCAAATCCGGCAAATTGTTTTGGAAAATCGATTTTAATCAAAAAGCGCCAAACATGGATTGCTTTGCCAGATTTCAGAGTCGCCATCTAAATATTTTATTTTGGAAAATTTAGGAAACCCTGACTCGTGCCTAAGGCCACGTGCCCGTCATCACTAAAGTTGCCTCGGCTTGGGAACTTGGGTACGAGAGGGGAAGGTCCTGAAATGAGCACCCCCGTTCGTCCGATCAAAGATTGGGCTCTACTAAACATGATATGTTATTTTTGAAAACACATGTGTTCTTATTCCGGTTTATTAGCTAGCTTACTATGTGATGCGCATAGCATACAAGTATAGACTTAATCACTCAAGTTGGAACAAAACATCTCATGTTTGTTTTTCAAAATGTGGTTTGAAGTTTCTACCTTCAAGTAGGCTAAAGTGCGGATTTGCCACCCTCAAGTGGGCTTAAGAAGACATGATTTGCCACTCTCAAGTGGGCTTAAAACGCACATTTTGATGAATTGTTCCAATTCAAGCAATGAAGCCTTCATCCACAGGCATTCATGCAGTTAATCAATTAAGCAATTAGCCTCATGGCAAGTATGCTATCATGGCAGTCACTTACACACATGCAAGGATGCTAAAGCATAAACACTCACAGTGTACTCCGAGCCAAAACATAAACCAATTAGAAATCAATGCATGATCCTAGCTATGTCAACAATGCCTAAGGCAACACATGCAAAATGCAACTAAAATAGGCTCAGTTATCTAGAATGACATATGAATGCAACACTTGATAACATGCTTTGAAACACGTATTCAAGAAAGTGTATTGAAATACAATGCAGTTTGAATGATGCGCCGAGCCCGATGCATGCAAGACAAAATGAATGATGTACGCATGCAAACATAAATATGTTAATTGAAACATGCCCTAAAACTAACCATCAAAAGCTGGTAAATAAAAGGGAGAAAGACGTGGGGTTGGAAGACATGCACACACACACGAACGCACGCACACTTATTACAGCATTGTGTCATCTTGAAGGAGGGTCCGAATAATAAGCTAACTAGCTACGCTAATTAAACTAATTATTACAAACCAAAACTAATTAACTATTCCTAGTTAACTAATTATTACAAAACAAATCGATTAATTAAGCACATTAACTAATTAAGTACAAAACTGACAAATTAGCTAACTAAGTAAAGTAGCTAAAGCAGTCAAAAGTGGTCCTCGGGGCGAGGGTTGCATGCATGCTCGATCGCCTCGTTCGGAAATCCATTGCTATGCCCAGAATTGCCTCTGTTTGCATTTGATTTGATCTTTGAAAAGTGTACCAACTTACAGATTACTTCTGCTCCAACATGGGGACCCTCCTGGTGGGCTGCCGACCAGAAAAGAGGGTTGTAGACCAGAAAAACTGGTTGTAGACCAGAAAAAGTGGTCGGTCGACCACCCCTACTGGTCGGCCGACCAATTGATTTGCCAAACTCCAGTTTTGTTGTAACAGAGAACAACAATGGGCATAGCAGTGTATTTGCAAGATATGTGTGCACAACCACCCTTCCTATCATTTCTTAAGCTCGAGGGAGTGCGGTACTCGACTCTCGGGCCACCAACCGAGCATCGCAATGCACGATGGCCGAGAAGCCAAGTTTGTACAAGTCAATGTCAATGAATGCACAAATAACACATAAGGGCTTCCACCTTTATCATGCTTGATCAAGAGGGTCAGCGACTGAGAAATGCTACACGTTTCATCACTTTAAGTATGAAACGTGCGACATTCCTCTTGTTCGGATTAATATCTAATCCAAACACATGCAACACAAACAAGATGACCAACCTTCAATGCTAAAGTGACATGTGCAAGACTCTATCATGTAAGCAATGCATGCATGACATGTTTAAAAGCTAAGGCATCAAAGCTAATGAAACATATTACACAATGAGGCATGCATTATCAATCTCAAATGGTCAAACCAACCCCGGACAGAGGTCGAACATGCCAAAACAGTGGCTGAAATATGTTAAGATCAAGACAAATAACATAAGGAGAACATGCTCTGATGGCTCATTAACAATGCACAAAGACACAACTCTCAAAAGCTCTCAAGGAATGAAAGAAGTGAAAACATGACACACGTACATGCTCTGAAATAACATGTTAAACGATGCCCAAACATGCAACCATCACAAATATAACATAGTAGGGTGCTCAAAACTCAAGACTAGCTAAGGTACTTGTACCATGGCCATATCAAGCAAGCCCCAAAGGGCCAAGATGACTCAAAATAGTCCCAAGGCAGGTCAAAACAATGCTAAAATATGCATG